GATGCCCCCCCCCCAGCCCAGGGGAGCTGCGGCAGGACGGGGTGTCTGTCCTTCTGCCCAGAAAGCCAAGGAGCGCGGAGCCGTGGTGGTGAGGGAGCCCTGGGTGGAGGAGGACAAGTTCGGGAAGGTGAAGTTCGCGGTGATCCAGACGGTAAGCGCAGGGCAGCTGGAGGCTGAGCCCCCGCGCCGGAGCGGGGTCCACAGGAGCAGGAGATCCCTGAAAACATGGGGCCACCATGTAACCGCTTCCCCCCTCGCAGTACGGTGACACCACCCACACCTTGGTAGAGAAGCACAACTACAGGGGCCTCTTCCTGCCCGGGTTCCACCCGCCCCTCTTCAAGGACCCCCTGCTGCCGAAGCTGTGAGTACCCCCGAGGGTCCTGCCCGGCCCTGTGCCACTGCAAGCTGGGGGGATGTCCCCACGAGGAGCTGGACGTGTCCCTGCTGCCTCACCCCAGAGCCCCCCACACCGTGGGGTGTCCCTGAACGCAGCTGAGAGCCGCCCCCGGCTTCCCCGCACAGACCCAGCGCCAAACTCAACTTCATCGACCACGTCGTGGGGAACCAGCCCGACCTCCAGATGGTCCCAGTGGCAGACTGGTAGGAGTGGGGAGGCCTGGTGGGAGGTGGGATGGAGCAGCAGCACCGCTCTGCTGGTCCCACCACTTCCAACAGTGGTGGCTGAGGGTAATTAAAAAAATCGTTATCAATGGACGAAGCGATTGACGTGCCCGTTGTGGTCTGGGCAGGTACCAGAAGAACCTCCTGTTCCACCGCTTCTGGTCGGTGGACGACAAGCAGCTGCACACCGAGTTCAGCGCCCTGCGCTCCATCGTGGTCACCAACTACGAGGAGACCATCAAGATGCCCATCAACGAGCCAGCGTTTGGCAAGAAGAAATCCCAGATTCAGGTGCGCGGATGCCAGTGGTGGATCCATCAGGCTGTCACCACCTCACTGACGTGGTGACATTTTTGCCCTGTAGGAATATATCGACTACTACGGAGGGGCTGGAGTCCAGCACATCGCGCTGAACACCTCTGACATCATCTCGGCGGTGAGTGTAACCCTGGCTCTTCCTG